TTTTTATTCAATCCTGTCATATTTTTGCGCAAAAAGAAGTCCTGCACCTCTGTGGAAATAACACAACCATGGCTAAAGGCAGGGAGAGCGTAAGATATTCTTTATGCAGCACGACGCAGTTTTAATGCTATGAATAATAATAATAATAAAGTTGAATTTCTTTGAGTATTTATTTTACATAAATATAAAAAACTGAATCAACATGTCCAACATTTTCCTCACAGGTGGTACCAACATTTTAAATCTATAGTAAGACTCTATTTTACTACTTTTAGTACGATTTTTAATTAGTTTCCATACTTTTTGCTGCTCTGCGTAAACACAGCCTGCAGTTCAGCCAAACGGTTCCTGAATTTTTGTCACATGACTGTTGCTCACAGCTGAGTCGTGCATTTCTTCTCGGTTGGTCTGAGAGCGAAGATTTGTTTTTTTTTTTTTACAGAATCGGGTTTATTTTGGCTGAATTCTTTAATTGAGATGTGATTTTGATGAAATATCATGCTTAGATTTTATTAATTTCCTGCTGAAATGAAAACAAAATACAAACTCAAGAGTGTTTCTTTAAAGGACAACATGCCTTTGGGGTTCAGAAAGTTAATATCTGTCTCTATTAATGTGCTGCTTTTCCAGTAGTGTTACAAATGAGGACTGATTGTTAAAGTCAAAGTTGGGGAGGTGACGCTTTCCATCTCAGATATTAAACATTTAAGTTGGACAAATGTTTGTTTAGTCCAGATTAGTCTGCTCGTAGTGCCATGTCGTCTTCTCTCCATACATCATTTTTATTCCTGCCAAAACACAATAAGACGAGACATGAAGTCAGCCGTGAAGCATTCTTAAACTTGGATGCTTCACAATAAGTCATTAGAAACCTTCTCTGAGTGCGTCATCTCTCGAAAACGGCTCTAAATCATTATGAACGATGTGAAGTGGTTCTGTTAAGGTCATTTAAGGACTTGTGATGATTCTGAGTGTTTGAGGACTGATGCTACCTCAGACCGACCTCGAGCTCCAGCTCCAGCGGTCCGGGTTGTGATTATCTGTGGGTTCTGTTACGCTGACCGGTCCGCTCTCCCTTCAGATGCTCACTACGCAGCGGTACGAGCCGACCTGGACTCTGACGCCCAGGACCTGGAGGCAGACTCGTGGAGTTTGGCAGTTGACCAGCAGTATCTTAAGAAGCACTCTAAGGAAATCGTGAAGAGGCAGGATGTGATATACGGTAAGTGTGATTTCAGAGGTGGTGTTTAAACCTGACCGGGCTCCTCATTAATTTAATAGTCAAGTGCAGAGAAAGGTCGTTAGCAGTAAGTCACTTTGAAAAGTTTCTGTCTGCTGATTACGTTACAGATACAACACTGTGTGTCACCATCTACAGGATTTTATCTTTATTTTAAGGCTTAAATTTTAAATATGCTCATTTTTATGTCACGATTTTTGTTGCTTTTGTTCTTTTATTGCTTTTTGTTGTTTTTTTACTTTTAAACTTGACGACTTTATCCTGAATAACATAATTTTAGGCATTTTTTTCCTCATATGCAGTCGTCTTCTCCAAGAACCTGTAAATAGAATCTGATGCATAAAGTCAGTCAGGCTTCCCTTTAATTTTGGGAATATTTTAACCCTTAAGTTGAGAAAATTACACAATTTTTCTGTAAAAACAGGAAAATGTTGGATTGTCAATTTTCTGATGGTCCTTGTGTGACTCGTGACTTTCGGTTTGTCTGGAAAAAAAACCTCCAAATCAACGCTTAAAATTGGGATTTTCTATTAAAATCACTTCGTTCTATGTCTCCTCCCAAAAATAAATCATTTGCAGTAACCAAATTCTGCAAAAAACAAAAAATTCTGTGCCTCTCTGCGAGTTCATGCAACCAAAAGTTCACTGACTGTTCAACTGAACTGCAGGTTGTGTTTAACCTGAGGAGATGTGGGACAGATAGGGAAACAAATTAAAAATGTAAATAGTGAAAGTCTGGATTTTTTTCTGATATTGAACCCTTGGGCGCTTAAAATAATCTGGTTCAATTTGATACCATTCTTAGATATTGAAGAAGAAGAATTCTTAGATAACCAGAAAAGCTCGACTTTCTTTTATTCCATGTTTTTATGATTTATGGCATCATAACCACGTTATACTGTACAGAATTCAACCCTCAGTTCCTCCTACGTCTAGCTGTTATTGTGCTGTTTCCACTGAGGAGCCAGACTTTATTTTGCAATGAAACGTGAGCCCAGGCAGGAAGTAATGTGACAGAAGCAAAAAAAACACCCATACACTGCTCGGGGTTCAAAGGGTTAAGCAGTAGCGTTAGCAGTATGTTTTTTACATGTATGAGCTCTACAAAACATGCACATGTTATCATACAGAGCTGATGCAGACGGAGGTGCACCACGTCCGAACGCTGAAGATAATGCTGCGAGTCTACGTCCGAGAGCTGAAGGAAAACCTCCAGATGGACTCGGGCAGGCTCGACTGTCTGTTCCCCCGCCTGGAAAGCCTCCTGGACCTCCACACACACTTCCTGTCTCGCCTCAAGGAGCGGCGGCGGGAAAACCTGGTCTCACCCAACGACAGAAACTACACCGTCAACAGGCTGGCAGACATCCTGATCGCTCAGGTAGGCAGGAGATGAGTGACCACCTCTGTGTGGATGGTGCAGCTTTAAGATGTTCCACCTCTCATCCACGAAGCTTCTCCAAGTGCACACCAATAGCCTGACTGAGTAAACTGTACAATACGATGCATATCGTTCATGTAGTGCAGCGTGAACCAGCAGCCATGATGGTTTCTTTGTTCTTCAGTTCTCAGGTGAAGTCGGAGAGAGGATGAAGGACAGTTATGGAGATTTCTGCAGCCACCACCCTGAAGCTGTCAGCTACTACAAAGATCAGATGCACAACAACAAAAGGTTCCACAACATCATACGGGTAATACACGTCAACATTCTTTTGATTTCTTACATCTGATTTAGTCCACAGTGCTTCTGTTGTAGAACAATACATGCAGCTTGATAACTACGTGATGCTGTTTTTCTTCTCAGAAAATCAACAACCTGTCCATCGTGCGGCGGCTCGGAGTGCCTGAGTGTATACTGTTGGTGACGCAGCGGATTACCAAGTACCCGGTACTGGTGGAGCGCATTCTGCACAACACCGAAGGTCCTTCTGCTGAATTAATCCCACGACTATCCAACGTAACATGGCTTGTTTTTGTCACTGGACTCAACTGAATTTGTTCCTGTCTGCAGCGGGTTCGGAGGAGCACGAGGATCTGTCTCGAGCTCAGGGTCTGATCAAAGACACCATCGTGCAGGTGGACACGCTGGTTAACCTCCACGAGAAGAACTCCAGACTCCGCGACATACACAACAAGCTGGAGCCAAAGGCGCTGGGAAAAATCAAAGACGGTCGAGTGTTTCGCAGGGAGGACCTCGCTCAGGGCCGGAGACGGCTGCTGCATGAGGGAACGGTCAGCTGGAAAGCTGCTTCTGGCAGACTCAAAGGTATGTTGTCTCAGAATAAAACAAAACACTTACCTCTTGTAGTAACATGGAGATACGTTCTGTTACTGAAAGAAATTAAGGATGCATTCATGTGTCTGGTCTGTTATCGTCTGCCTTTCTAAAGCTGTCATTCCTGATTGTTGTCCTCCCAGATATTCTAGCGGTGCTCCTGTCAGATGTGCTGCTGTTGCTACAAGAGAAGGATCAGAGATATGTGTTTGCTACGGTGGTGAGTGATTTATTTTACTCATTCTGTCTTTATGACACTCAACAAAAGGGTGCATCAAAGAGGAGTCATATGCAATAACACGTGAACAGGAGCAGAAATACGCAATTGATGCTTCGTTCTTTTCTACCTTCAGTAGCAGAAATCAAAATGCCGTCTCGTCTTCAACCTCCGTCTTTCTTTGTTTTTCTTTTAATTCATCCAGGATAACAAGCCGTCAGTGATCTCCCTCCAGAAGCTCATCGTCAGGGAGGTGGCCCACGAGGAGAGAGCCATGTTTCTGATCTGCGCCTCTTCCAACGAGCCGGAGATGTACGAGATCCACACCACCTCCAAGGAGGAGAGAAACACGTGGATGACGCACATTCGGCAAGCTGTCGAGAGGTAACGCGGCGAGAAACGCTTTATTTGTTACGAAAACGCCTCCATTTTTTAACCCCGGTTCATCCAAAACCACAGCATAGATCTAAAGTTATGGAAAATTCTGCAAAGATTTAAACACCGTGTAGGCGAATACTTTTTTCATACACAGTTTGTGCTGCAAAGTTAGAATTCCTTCTGTCCTCTCCCTTTGTTAGTTGTCCTCACACTGAGGAGAGGCTGTTCAGCGAGGAAGAGGAGGCACGAGCGTCCAGGCTTAAAGAATTTCAAGGTAACTACACATCAAGTATGCACTGGCAGAAGTAAAGAAAGCTGGGAAATCAGAAGGCCACAAGGAGGTGCTCATGCATCATATTCACCCTGCTGGAAGTGGATTTCATTTACTTTCTGAGCATCAGAACTCTTTAAACATGCAGCTGAGGTTGTTCAAAACACCTCGAGGTATTTTGGCGTCCTTTTTGGTATGACAGCTGCTGTATGGATGCTCCAGAAAGACACATTATGAATCTCAGTTCCTTGTAAAGACGTGAGCTTTCTGACTCCGCTTGATGTTTTTCTGCTGCAGAGCGACTCTGTCAGAAGGATGCGGTGATCGTGCAGGCTCTCACTGAGAAGCTGCAGCTGTTTGCGGACATGGCCGAGTCCGTGGCCGGTCTGGAGGACGCGGCGTCCAGGTCCAGACTGCTGCTTCGAGGAGACTCCTCGGACCTCCACCAGGGGGAGACGCTGCTCAAAGGAGCCATCACCGAGGGTGGGACGGTGCTCCACCATACGAGCATCTGCTGTCGATTTGCAGGCGTTGTGTAATATTTACACACAGATTTTCTTCATGTACTGCTCTCTGCAGCTTTGTGGTAACTTTGTGGTTCCTCTTCTTTGACTTCAGTGGAGAACCTCCAGAACCTGCTGCAGTCTGGAGTGAGGGAGGAGGCGCCGCCCTCTCGGACGGAGGACGGCGGAGGCTCCGGGGTTCTGCCCAGGAGAGCCGACACCTTCGGGGGCTACGACAGCAGCCCCAGCATCCTCAGTAAGAGTGAGTCCAGCACACTGAGGAAGTCCACCATCTAATGGGGTTTCACTTGTACTGCATTGCATCGGCTTTTACGCCACCTATAAACCACAAATAATGAATAAATTGAACGTTTTTTCCAAAGACTTTTTGATGGATTCATTCCCAGAACGTGCATTTATTCAGCTGTTCATGCAGGTTTACATGTATATGGATGTGTGTGTGTATATATGTGTGTGTGTGCAGATTATAAGTGTTTCCGTGTATTCCAGTGAGTTTGTTTTAACTGTCGACGCTTTGTGTTGCTGTGTGTGTGTCTGTCTTTTTGTGCGTCGGTGTCGGTCCGTCTGTGCCAGATGGCAGCGCGAAGAAGAACTTTTCTGGCGAGTCCAGAAACAGAGACAGAAGCCAAAGAGCCAGCTCGGACCCTCAGCTCAAAGACCTCTGTGGCGGCCACGCCCTGGAGCAGACGGTGGGAGACGCACACACACACACACACACACAAACGCACACATAAACACACACAAACGCACACTACATCTTGGGATGAGTCAGTGTTATTTCCTGTAAATAGTAATATCCACACCAAGTCAGGAGTCTGGAAAGTTTCCACGTCCTGATGTTTACTGTACGCCGTCCTCGCGGGTTACCTCATTTGTGTATAAATAGATAAAGCCTCGATAAACATTATTCTCAGAACGTTAATGTAGTTCCAGTAAATCCTGGTCCTTGACGATAATCAGGCTGACTAAATATAACAACAGAGGAGTGAGCATGTCCAGAAGTTTCTCCCTCACGCTGTCAAAACTTGCAAAAACACCTTTTTTAGTGACAAGATGTTAAGATTTCCCAAAAGTCTGCTTATTTAAAATGGTTAAAATCCTACAACATGAATGCTTAAAAGTCCCACGTTCTCAAAAAGCTCAATTTACAGGCTGCAAATGGAGACAAACCTCCAGTTGCAATGAAGAAATTCCACAAAATACACAAATTAAATATCAACTATCTGCTACCAGGTTCATTTGTCAGCATGACTGTTGATTACATTCATTTATATGTTTATAAATTAATGCTGCATGGATTCTGGAGGCTGACTGTATTTGTATATTTATGCTGGGAGGCTCTCGAGTAAATTTCTTATATATATTATCTTTCCTCTGCTGCCACATTTGTGTATTTTGTGGAATTTCTTCATTGTAAAATCAGGTTTGTCTACATAAACATTAGTTTGTTTCAAGAAGGTGGTTTTGATCCTTGATCCAAGGACTTGACTCATTGCATGAAGCAGTGTTTTGGGATTTATTTATAATTCTTAGTTTGTGTGTTATTGAAATCTGTCATTATAGTATGTGTGGTATGTTGATTAGCTGCAGAGTTGCAGCCGCTCCATATTTAGGATTTCTTTGCACCAAACCATTTGCCTGATGAGGGACTAGTATTGTGAATAAATGGGTTTTTGCAAGTTCAACAGTGTGCAGGAGTCTCTTTGAGGCTAAATAACACAACGTATTTGTTTCCTTCTTTTAAAACTTCTGTTTTAAGTTCATGAGGTTCATACAGACTTTGCACAATTATCCTGTTTTTGTTTTTGAAAATTTGATCTAAACTTCATAGCTTTTGCTGCTTAACTCTTATAGTCAGGGTGTAGAAACAGGTTTTTAAATGTTATTTGAGGTTGAGAATACAAACCATCATTTGCCACCAGTGCATATACTGTGGATTTAGTGTGTAAGGTGGACAGAAATTAATCATTTGCACAAAATCCAATAACAAAATGTTAGAATTACATATTATCACAAACAAATTTCAGACATTTCTGAAGTGTCTATATGATCTTGTGCTGTATTGAAGATGCCGTAAAGTGTGTCTGACTCGCTGTGTGTCTGCCTGTCGATGCTCAGGTTGACGAGAGCTGCTGCTCTCCCGCCAGATGGAACCGCATCTGGTCCGACTCCTTCCCCGAGGCCGAGGTGAGCCTCTCTTATCTGTCACCTTGTGCTGCACATCACTGCTGGCATGATGTGGCATTTATAGCTGTGCCCGCTGAACTGAAAAGATGCACACATGAGATGTTTGCTAATCCAGTGAAATGTTGAGTTGTCTTTTTTTGTGTTGCTGGTGGTTATTTGATTACAACGCCTTGTCTGTTCTTTGCCGTTCTAGTTCTTCGACAGAGTGCTGATGCTCTCCCAAAGGCTCTACAGTCTGCAGGTAATGAAGTCTGAATATGTTCCCAAATGCAGTGAAAGACATGAATGCAAATGAAATCCATGGTTTGTTCTGTGTGTTTGCACTTTAAACCTCTGAACTCCAAAACCTGCCAGCAGCTGTGAAAGGCATGAAAAGAAGTCACCATTTATAAATTTAGCACAAATTTATTAATTTATCAGATCCTGAAACAGTAAAACCAAGAAGAATCATTAGATGGTCAACTTTCCGATGGTCATTGAACTACTCATCTGTGATCTGCTGTTCCATCAGAAAACTTTAAATCACTTTATTCTGCATATCACATTTAAAAACGTGGATGTTTACCCATCTGAGCCTAAAAACCCACCAATGTGTTTAAAAGACAGGTTACCTTTTGAAAAAATCAAACTCTTGATGCTTTTTTTGAACTACTCATGTTTGACTTTTGATTTCATTGGAACAGTCTGTTGTGATATTTCATTAAAATCCCTTAAATATAGATGCCTCATTTAAATATGTACTAAAAATAAAGCGTTTGCTCTAAATAGATTATGTAAACAAGAAAAAAATCCTCTGTCCTCTGCCATTGGAGGCTCAGCTCTGACCAATAGTTCAAGAACTGCAGGATGTGTTTACACGGCAGCCATTGTTTGTAAAATAACTATTTATTGAAATTCATCTTATGTTTTTATTAATTTTTTAATGAAACATGGCATCATACGTGTCATACTGTGCAGAAGATGTGCAGGATTTTATATTGCAGTGCCCAAGATCAGATGGTTAACTGCTTAATTTATGAGGTATTTGTGTTTACAGTTTAGCTCCCTTGAATTTCTAAGAAGGTACTGAAAGCCGTTCATCTGTCCTGTACTCAACGTTCATGTTCTCTCTCCGTCTCCAGGCCATCATATCCCAGCAGGACAGCCACATCGAGCTCCAGCGGGCCTCGCTGACGGAGCGCGCCTCCCTTCCCGGCCGCCACAGAGGAAACGTTCTCCTGGAGCAGGAGAAGCAGCGAACTCTGGCCCTGCAGAGGGAAGAGCTGGCCAGCTTCCACAAGCTGCAGTCTCAGCACCGGCAGGAGCAGCAGCGCTGGGAGAAGGAGAGGGAGCGACACCGGCAGCAGGTCGAAGCTACCGAGGCCAAGCTACGGCAAAGAGAGGAGGAGTGCCGACGGCAGGAGGTGAAGCTCCGACACACAACAAGTGGTGCTAGACGTGTGCTAAAGGCTGAATTTAGTCAACTAGCTGAGCTAGAATCCATCCCTCTCTGTCCTACTTGCTCATGAAAAGGAAACTTTGCGTGTTTTCTTCTGTGCAGGAACATCTGGCGAAGGAGAGGGAGGAGCTGGACAGGCAGAGGAAGACGTACCAGCAGGACCTGGAGAGGCTGAGAGAGTCCACCAGAGCTGTGGAGAAAGAAAAGGAGCGTCTGGAACACCAGAAGAAGATAAAGAGGAAGACCATTGAGGTGGGGCATCTGTGGTGATGATGATCGCAGTCGTCTGTAGACAAAAAAACAGTAAAACAAAACCCCAAATTTGCTCATATAGACACGGAGAAAAGGTTCACCAGATAAGACTTACTAACAAAGCTGTTCTATAGCCTTTAATACTGATCAAATATATTTACTTTAAATAAGGTTATACTTGTAGTTGGTCTGCAGACAGCAGATGTGATCATCAAAGAGGATTTCAATGCAGCTTTGAACCCAAAAGCAGATTCTGGGTGTTTCTTTACTTACTGTTGGCTCATTTTTCACTGCACAGCAACAACAATGAGTACAAATGGAGAAAACTCAACAATCCTTTGTGCAATATAACAGTTACATAGATTATAATACATACACAAGAAGAAAAAACAATCTGCAAATAACATAGATAACATTGTCCAAGTGGTACCAATAATGGGGGGAAAAGCGATGCTCTGCGTGTTATAGATATTGTACAACTTATGTTTTTAAAAAAAGTTAATGTTCGCACTTGTCCCTGTCCACTCTGTGTAAACACTGCCTGCAGATCAGCCCAAAACTCCCTAAATTTTTCCACAGTTGCTCCTTTAAGTGCAGAATTTTCTGTTTTTACAAGATCTTATGAACGCAAATCAATATTTTTTGGCAATTTTTTAAAACGAGTCATGTAGAATAGAGTGATATTGATAAAGTATCCTGATTTTAGGCTTAGATTTGTTCGGCAAAGCAGAAAGTTTGACATGATCCATCATCAGAATCTGCAGAGTTCTTCTGTTTTTACAGTTTGTTCCTCCGATAAATGGTGTTTATTTTGAGATTCTTATGAAGCTGTGGGTGTGTTTTGGGGTTTAGAGGGTTGAGCAGGTAGGAGGAACATGAGGACGAGGTAATACTAGGAGCAGTCGTGTTGGTGGCATTACTCTCAGGATAAAGGACAACAAGGGGCTTTCTCATCTCTCTGGGTCCCTGATTCACAGTTTCTGTATCTTGTTTCTTTTGTTCCAAACCTGTGTACCTCCTGACTCATGTACCACCATCCTAAGGTACTGAAATACCAAATATACAGTATTTTAATATCAACATTTGGACGTTTTATCTAATTTTTAAATTCAATCTCGGTTTTACGTTCCTGCAAATCTCTGTCGACTCACCAGAAATCTGCAGCTTTAATCTCCTGTCTCGTATAAAAGTGACATTGCTGATCCTTCTTATTTGCGCAACATTTCCATCTCAGAGTGGAAAAACGCTGCCATGAGAGCTTTTAGTTCCTGAGTTCAGGTCCAACAGAAGCATCAGTTTCCTCTCCCGCAACCTGTTTCATAGATGGAGCCGTAATGACAAACACATGGACAGCTGAAAGCATTTCTGACCGCTCAACCCAAGAATCCAGCCTCTTCTACCTCCCAGTGTTTTCTTAATTTCTTCCCTCCTTTCTCTGCTTGCAGCTACAATGCGGGTCATTGTTAGCGAGTTTCATGGGAGAGGAGCTCCGAGAAGGATCCTCTGACTGTAATTTCATGCCCGCTGCAAAGAGATCTGCCAAGAAGTTACTGTAAAGTTACCTAATGTCAACCTTTAGTGGTTTTAACGGCAGTTTGCTTGATTGGCGTTTTCTGTGACAAGCTGAGGGGAGGTGAAGGCTTCTCGTTCCGCCTGGGAAGTTTCATCTTGATTTTTATCTTTGCGTCAGACCGAGAATAAAATAATACAGACTGACTGGAACTTTTCTAGCAGCTGCACCACCTGAGTCACACGGGATGCTGTCATCGTGTAAAACACAACCAAAGATGTTCTCTGACTAACGCGTCCGTGTTACAGAAGGCCCAAACTTCTCAGCACAGTGAGTCACCGGATTGCAATCTTTCCGAGTCCGACCGAGCTGCAGACCCGTGGCTCTGCTGCATGCCCTTACAGTTTCATCGCTTCTCTGCCGTCTGACATTCCTACCTGATTGACAGTCGTCTCCGATTGGCCGGTTTCTCTTCATCCTGATGACACGCTGCCGGCCACTCACGTCCTGACACGTCCTCAAAACAAAACAAGCTTTTTTTTATTTGCAGCTACGCGTTCTGTTTTCTGCTCCACTTCCCCAGACATCTGGCGACGTATCTGGGATCCGGTTTGCATGTTAAGATGACCTTTGGGTGCCTCGGCCGACTGGAGTCTTAAGTCGAGACGTACACAAACATAACCAGCTGACATGAATTATTGCACTTATCTTCTCATTACCGGCTACAGACGGCCTTTGACTGCGAGCTCCATCTAGAATACTTCACAGCGACTCCTGGAAAACCACATCCCCTGGTTGAATCGGGCTAATCTGCCGAGATGAGTAATGCTCGGCTAATTACAGAGGCCTTCGCCGAAACGGTTTGTTTGCGACACGAACTGCGAGATAACACGCGAGACAGATGATATCTAGACCCTATCAGCACCCCATTAAATGGAGCTTATACTATTTGTCTGGGAGCAGCTGAGCGGCGTGTTTGTGTGTTCTGTGCACATGTTTGGGCTGCATGCGTTGCACTTCTGCGCCGCGCTACGGGACTTTCTTGGCTGCGGTTTTGGGGAGATTTGGAAGTGGTTTGTGTCCCTTCTGCGTCGAACACATCAAACGGTCTTTTCATTAGCTGCGACCGCGGGATCTGTTCCAGGCTCTGGGCCAACCTGATATCAACAGACATTTAATCGCCACCACCCAAAATTAAGACTCATCAGCAAAACCCGGAGAGCTATGATTAGACCTCATAAAAAAAAAAAAAAAAAAAGAGACGTGCCCCCGCGTGAGCTTCTCGACATGTGCGAGTGTTTGAGCGAGACCGGTGCTAGTTGTGGCACGTTCTGGCTTCGGGGGAACTTTTCTTTCATCTCGTCATACTTGGCTCCGGCCCAGGGCAGAGCCTCGGGTCTGGTGATTGCACAATAGTTTCTATGAAGGTTTGATTGGCAGCGAGGAGTCGAGAAAATAGATGACACAGCAAGAGTGAGTGGAGCAAAAAAACTAAACGTGCATCAGCCGTGTCTGATGAAAAGAAGTTTAGACATCTTCTTCAATAAAGGATAACTTTAAATGACCAGATAAGAGATTTTAGCACAAATTTAAAAGCTAAACTGCTTTTAAGAGCCTCTGCTGGTTGTAAGAGATGATCTCCTAATCATTCTGTATAAGTGGTACCGGTTGTAATTTTGCTAAACCGTGGTGACATCTTCCAGGGTTTCTCCAGCGCTGAGCACCAGAGGAAACCGATAACTGTAATTTTGAGAAACCTTTCTGACTGCAAGGTCTAAGGTCAGTTTTTCAGCCTGCTTGGGAAAAGCTCGAGGGCATCGTTGCGTAGCATCCAGTAAGCTTGTTTTGTTTAACAACTGCTTCTTTCTCCTGTTTTGTGCTTTCGAGCAGAAAATCATAAAACTGAGTTATCACCTGTAATGAGTGAAGAACGTGAACATGACAGAGAACGTTGCTAAAACATGGGAAAGAGCGTAAGAAAAATGTCGAGTCTAACAGGAAACATGACCCGTACCTGTTCCCTCTGCACCCTGAGTTATCTCTTCCCCTCCGCGGCCTCTTCTGATTTACGTTGTCTCGGTGGGTTCCTGTGTCTCAGGAACTCCAATAAATAACTCCTCAACACGCTCGCTCCTAAATACCTGCGACTGCCTTCTGCTATAATCAGCTGGTAGCAGTTGCTTTGCAGCGCTAAGACGGCGGCGCGGCGAGCTGCAGGGCAGATATTTTCTTCAAGCCATCTGTCACCGTCGCTGCTCCCCACCTGTTCGCTGTTAGCTGTGTGAAGAGCTGATCTGTCTTTAACTGAAATGTTGTCAAATTGCTCATCGCCCAAGTTAGTCATTTGCTCGGAAAAGGGGAAGAAATTGTTTTTTGGAGGCGACGTTGCGTTTTTTTTCTGAGCAGCTGGTTCATTTACAGGCATTGATTTGTGAGAATCTCTTCAGCTCAGATAATTATTTTTATTATATGTTGGAATATGTTATAGATTAGCAATAAATGAGCTGTTTTAGAGCTAAAATGAGCACAGTATTGATCAATTCTGCTGCTTGAAACCTCAGAAAACTGAAATAGTAATACAAAACGAGCTCACATTTAAGAATAAACCTTTGAAAAGTGGGTGTTTTTGCTCGAAAACTAACTAAATGCTTAATCGGTTGTAGGAAAGTAGCTGAAAACTGAAGACGTGACTCTTTCTTTGCAGCTTTTAAGTTTGCAAAATGTCAGAAAACCGTAAAAAACGCACGTCGCAGCCGACTTCAGATGTTGTTTTTGTCCGACCAACCCAAAGAGAATCCATTTGCTGTCATATAAAACAGAAAAAAAAGGAAAGTATTCTCCAGATTGGGTGCATGGATCAGTTTTTTGATTAATAAATTACAGCAAATATTAACATTTCTGCTGAATTATTTTTGCTGAATGACCAATCGCTGGACAATATTTACTCTGAGTAATCGCCCCCGTTTATATACGGTATGAATAACTTAGAGTTTGATTTGAGATTAAACAAATTTAGCCTACAGCGTTCGCTAATCTTATTAGTTCTGGTTGAATCGGAGCTGCACAGGAAGTCAGGTTTGGGTTAAAATTTCACACAACACGTAGTCACTCGAGCAGAATCTCCTTCCTGGTGGCGACTCTGGTGAACAAGGCGACACATTGTGCAGCGTCGGCGGAGACGTGTACGATTATGGGAGTATCCAGGCCGGTCTGAGGATGAGAGGAACCTGGCTGTGTAATTAGCCGGTCCTAACCTGTCATTAGCAGAACCCTCTGGACGGAGGCCAGTGCTAATTGTTTATGTGCTGTCAGTCGGACCTCTTTGTGCCGAGCAGCTTCCGCTCAGTTTACTGCCCCTGGAAACCTGCTGTTTGTGTCGCTCAGAGCCGATCACCTCGTCCCAGGGAAACAATGGGAACATCTGTGTGCCGAGATGAGTGAAAGAGGAGAAGTGATGGAGGGGAAGCAGAGGAAACGGAGGGTCAGGGAAGGAGGTTCAGGCCTCTTTCTCTGCACCGACGCTACAGCTGGAGGAAGCTACAGTCTGGACACATGGTCACGGTCGGATGAGTCTGTCCTTCATGCCTTGTGAAACGCAGCCATCATGCATCCCCCATCGCCGTAGGAAGTATTCGGCATCATCATCAATCTTGTCAGATGCAGGCTGCATGTCAAACACGGCAGTGACTGACTGACGCTAGAAGCTTTTCATCGACTGTGTTCTGGTGAGATTAGGAAGAAGTTCAGTTATCAGGATTGAGAACATTTCCACTTTGAGAACACGAGGAGGGAAATGACGCCGAGGGGTTTACTGTGAAGGAAGTTCAACATATCCAGGCTTTCTTTGCGTTAGCTGGTTCGATAAAACCTAAAACTCCAGCTGTGGATAATGGATATCACAGTGATAGCTTCCAACTTTATTTGTCCGCCAGATTTCCTTCTTTAGTCTCTTGAGTGTGCTCACATGAAAAGAGGAAATTTAACTCTTCATCTGAACAAAATGAAACGATAGCACGCTGCCTACATCCGTCAAGAGGAACAGGTTGTTATCATGTGGAGCTGTGAAGAAGTTTATTTAGAGAAAAAGCAGCGCTCTTACTGCAAATGAAGCAAGAGGGGGATTCTGGTAGTAAATGGTGTTAAAGAATATATTTATTTCACCACTCGCTGACACTCAGCTGCTCATTTCTAACACGACAGCTGCAGCCAGAAACTTCAACATGATTACGTTCAGGTCTGTCGCTGCCCCAAAGTGTAGAAATAACTTTAGTTTTTGGCCAAATAAAAGTAAAGTTAATGTTACTGATTGAATATTCTCAACACCGATACACTAATCAGTTTCCTACTCTGTGTTCTAGTAGATGATGTAGCAGCAAATCAGGACTAATCATAAACATATTTATATATTTTCTGCATCATCAGCTAAATCCATACGGGCGAATGTAGGCAAGAAGAGAACTGGTAGAAGGAAGATGCTTCTTTTAGCCGATTTAAACTCCTCCAGAGTGCAGCATCTGTTACCGTGGCGATCTAGCTTAAAGGTTAAAACTCTGACTTCAGGTTCAACATATCTGGCTAACTCACTAATCCATCACTGCAGTGCAGCGTTCTGCTCTCTGGGCTTTAATCGACCCAAGTATCCGATGTTGTTGTGTGGCTGTACTCGAATGCAAAGTGTGTTTTAACTTAATAGTTGTGCAACGTCATTGGGTAACAGGACTCGGAGAACTTTGGTCGTGCAGTAATTCCCACAATAGCCCACTGAAAGGAAGCTTTTTATAGTCCTTGTAATGCAACACATGTGGGATTAGCAACACAAACACCGCGCCGCTCCTCTGTCGCAGTCATCCTCCCGGTCAGTCTCAGCGGCTGCAGGTTGGGCGATCGTGTTGACTCGCTTGATCTTTAGATCGCTTCGCCTTTATTCTGGTAATTAAGTGGACAATGCAGTCAGTGTCTTTTGTCCACTGATGTCATGGGAGACATGTTCTTGTTCCCCTGCTTGTCTGACAGTCCTGTCTGTTGTGTTAGACACGCCTTTATGTGCACAGGGACTATTAGGGGTTTTATGTTTCTCATTTTGTGTGTGTGTCTGTGTGTGTGTGTGTGTGTGTGTGTGTGTGTGTGCATTGTCCTTGAGCTTCATGGGAGAAAAAAAAAAAATCAAACGCTTGCACCAAACGTAGCGAGATGCACGCTCAGCAGAAAGAGCCCCATGTGTTTCTGATTCCCTCTTTAGCTCTTAAATACCCAGCGCCTCCACAGATTCTGTTTCTGTAATGACACGGCGTCACACACTAGATTTATAGTGTGTGTTTATCTGCGTGTGTCTTCTGTACTCTTAAGAAGCTGCCTTTTTTTTTTCTTTCTCTTTCTTTCTTTCTTTCTTTCAACAAAACACTCTCATACACAACCCACAGTACAGGCTGCAAAACATGATGTTCCACAAGTCAGAATCTGAACGGAACCGCAGATATGGATAATTACAGTGCAGCGCTGCCATCGTTTGAACTCAAAATGCTGAATCTGAACTCTTTTATGATGATGTTTGCAACAACAAGAAGCAGAAGACTTCTCAGTCGATGACTCTCGGCCTTCTCTCTCTCTCCCCAGGTGGCTCCGATGTCTGGCAGCCTGAACGGGGAGCTGCTCTCGTCCTCGGGCCTCTCCGGCTCCACCGGCATCCCCGACCTGCCCCAGAAGCCCCTGGTCCGGGCCAGCATGTCGGTGTCGCCGGCCGACTACCCGGAGCGCCCGGAGCTGATGCTGCGGCGGGAGGCGGGATCCTCGACTCTGCCGCTGAAGACGGAAGTGCCGCTGCATCTGGTCAGCACCACCAACCAGCAGCACAAGCTGCTCGGCGTGCAGCAGCAGATCCCCACCAAGCTGGCCGCCATCAACAGCGGCAAGAGCAAAGGAGGGAAGAGCGGCAAAGCGTCGCATCGCACCGACAGCACCGGTAAGGAGTCGGACCTCAAGTACTGAGATCATCAGGTGGTCAGATGTTCCAGTGGCTGAATGTCACAGGTTTCATCTCTGGATATGAGAGACGTTCAAGATCAGTTCCAGGATCGTTACCATGTTTAATATTACTTCATTATCACTGCCAGTGTTGCTTTTCTGTTTCTCATTTTATTTCCTTGTTGTCGTTTTATTAGTGCATTTATTTGTTCAGTTTGTTTTTGTTTTTTTTTTTACAAGAATTTCCTTCAGGATTAAAAAGGTTCCATCTTGGCCGCAATTATATTATTCAAACTTATCTGAACGTCTCTTATCTGAACCCATTTGAACTCATCCTATCTGAACTTATCTTATCTGAGCTTTTCTTATATGACATGCGGCAAATGTTGAGTTTTGCTTTGAACACGTCCCAGCAGTGTGATGAGCTCTGATGTTCTGGAGCTTCGTTCTGGGCCGTACTTGTTTTGTGTTGCTTCCTTTACTAAAACAAGCCCGACAGCTGCCCACTAACACCAACAAAAGGTCACGTCTGAGGTTTCAGGTGATGTGTATCAGTGCAGCAAACTGTTAAAATAGACTTTTCTTCCCTGACACGAGCTCGACCCGATCGCCCTCATTACAATCACATTAGCCGTCTAAATCGGGTCAGCCCGCTGATTCATCAAACCCGAAAGAAGCGAGGCGGCTTCAGTTTACCAAAGCAATCTAATTTTACAGTTAAATCACCTTCTGTCTGTCTGTTTGCTTTGCTCCCTCCTCCTCCTCCTCCTCCTCCTCCTCAGCCTCCGTGGACATGAAGCAGATGCTGCCCCTGAAACTGTCCTCCAGAGAGGACAACGCCCTGAAGGCCAAGCGCTCCGTCAGCCCCCACCAGCAGCAGCAGCTGCCTCCGCCGGCGCCTCCTCAGCCCCTGCATCACCTCGCAGGTATCCCGAACGCAATCTCCTCCCGTCTGCTACATTATTAATCTCAGGTCTCACAGACGCAAACATGAGAAACACGCATTCTCCACCTGGACAAACGCGACTCCACCCGATGGCATTCCTGTGTAAAGCTCTCCTTCATGCCCAGCCTCTCCCTGTGTAAACACCTATCAGTGTCTTGTGTGTGATTAATGGCTCGCCGTGCTGCTGACACACACACATTTTAACACTTTAATCCCGTTCTCTCATGATGACAACTGAGAAAAAACCCGCCGGCAGGATTTCATGCGATACATTTTGCAGCAACAATGAGCTGCTGCATGAAACGCGTGACTAACGTTTCTATTTTTGGAGTTTCTTCTCTAATGGCCTTCCCTTTGTGCTTCTCCCAGATCAACTCAGTCCTCCAGACAGCGCCGGACCAGACGGCCAGTCCCACCCCGCCGGTGTCCAGAAGCCCGCCATGCCTCCTCAGCCCTCCATGCAGCCTCCCAGCATGCCCCCCCACTCCCAGAGCACCGGCGCTCTGCAGTTCCAGCCGCAGAGCGTCGCTCCCGGCAGCCAGGTAAACGTGCACGCGCTCAGCCACAGCCACAGCATGCCGCCGCCGTACCACAAGGTCACCACGGAGGACCTCGCCAAGGAGGACGTCATCTTTTTCTGAACTCAAAGTCAAAGCACCGATCGCAAGATTAAAAACTATCGTGGGGCTGATCCCCAGACTGCTCGTTAAACCCATCGCGAGGAGCAGCGCAGCGACGCAAACGCAGGTGTCCGAATATCGGTACGACGTCGCAGCAGTTTATCGCGTTTAATTAAGATTCTAAACTGCCAACAATAGAGGAGTACTTCAGTTTTATTTAAGTTTTAGTTTTCTATCTAAACCCGATGGAGAGGCAGCAAAAGGCGTCTTGTAACGTGTGTGTGTGTGTGTCAAAGGTTTAAAACGAAGTTAAATCAATCCAAAGACCACGAGAGCCGAAGGGGGGACGGGACTGAAGGGAAGATGAACTGTACTTTCAGGAGTCTGGACGGAGCGTTGGCCCGACGGCAGGTTTCTCTGCTGGACCTGGAAACGCATGAAATGATTCAACAGGAGCTGAGAGGCGACGCAGCTCTTCACACATAAACACTCTCTGCTTGATGTTTCATTTGCACACTGTACATACTCCATTCCAGACTAATGAATGAACCTTTGTGGACAAACTTGTGTATTATTTGGTTGTACAGCCGTCAAAACGTTGTGAAGTTTGTTGTTTGTACTCGTCTTAATAGTGCTTAAAACCGAAGGATCGCGTCTTTAGCGCCGCCGCCGGCTGTGAAAGTGTTTTTTTTTATTCTAAGCTGTTGTGTCGATAATTTCAATTAAGGGAGGCTTTTGGCTGATTTTATTTCTAAACTCCCAGAATCCTTTAAACACTGACGGTTAAATCATTTCTACTTATTAGCATGAAGCATATTTCCAAACATCTTCTTAAGCACATTCGGTTGCGTTTTCTTCCTGCAGCTGCGGCACTGATCAGAAATATGTACATTTAAGTACGTAACTTAAACCAGACGTTATCATTTGAAGGTTTTTCTCACAGACTTGTGGTTTGAAATGAAGGAAATTAGCTAAAGTTGGCTAAAATTTTGCACCATTCAGCATTTAATGAGTTTGTCTACATTTCCCCAGAACGACCCCTTTAAAGGACAAATCTGTGTAAAACATTTCTGCTGCCATTTTGGATTGAAGGTACGTTTCAGGACGTTTCATGCTGGTTTAAAGGGTGAAATTAACTTTAAACTGCTTCAGTTTTCTGGACAGGAGAAGAAGAAGTTAAAATCCACCGTCGTACATTCAGCTTTTTCTCAGTTGGGGGAAGATTTAAAGCACAAATGTTGAAGGAAATCAACAAACTGAGGGTAAATTAGGATTCATAAAACCTGCGTATTAAACGTTGTGTTCCTTTGGTGTATTTATGGAGAAAATTCAGACTCACAAGACAAAAAAAAGCCAGATCGTTGACAGAACTGAAGCAATTTAAGCTTAATAGAATCCCAGCAATCTGATTAATTTATTTTTTTAATCGAATCAATAATTAATGTGCCGAGTCGCGCGTTTGAAAAGCTCGCGTCGCTGGACCCCGCTTTGCTGACTTTGCTGATTCTACTTAACCAGGACGTATTTGAGATAAATATGAAGATGGCGCTTTTAATTAAGGCTCAGAGGTCTTATTGATTTATCGATTCCTGTTGACATTTCCACGTCTCGGTCTTAAATCTCTTTGCTGTGACGGATGCAGCGACGATCGTCTGCCGTCTCACGTTTCACTCTTTCTTTACACCAAACATGAGGAGAAGTCCGTCTTTGTTGTTCTCCTCTGTGTGCACGAGATCCTTTCACATCAGGAAGCAGCTGAAGCATCAGTAGGTTTTTGTGTCTTTGGAGGGGAAAAGAGCTTTTTTGTCCAAATCAGCTGGTGTGTGTTATGTATGCTGTTGTACATACTGTCTGTTCTGCACCGGCCGCCTCCTCCTGACACGAATCCAGATGTTGAAGTCTTTGTCCGTGCACATCTGTACGGACACTACACCGTCGCTCGTTGTGTAAATGAAACTTTAATCTCTCGTCTGCCGAGGCGACGATGCAGCAGCCGTTTGAAAACTGAACCGTCTGCTTGTTTTCGGTTGGTTAAAACCAAAGAGACGTTCAGCCGACTGGGATAAACGTGTGGTCGCCCGCAAAGTGTTATTGCTCGTAGAGAGGAGCCTCCGGGGACGAGCGTGTTTACTGCAGGTCCAGCTCACATCCGGCTTCAGATTTGGATTTGTTTGCAGAAATCTCCTCGTACGAATGAGATCAATAGCAGACAGTAAAAGAGTGGAGACGTCTGGCTTAGAACTAATGACTAGTTTTAGATTTTTTATCATCATCGGAGCATTTGCGTGCATGTTGACGCAAAAACTTATCCAGAGTTGTCCAAGGTTTTACTTCTTTCTTGCTCTTTTAACAGTCGTACCAAACGATCGCTTAACCGTCGACAGATCCGTCTGAACGAGGCCACGTCTGGTGCTTGAAAGCTTAACAAAAAATAAAAAATTGAGATGGGATTCCTTCGTCAAATTCAATTTTCCAGATTCAAGAATAATTTCACGCTCATCCAGACGTTTGCGGTACATTTCCTCTTTCTGTTTTCCTTCTTTTTACTTCTTAATGAAAGCGGTTCGACGACAGCAAAGACTGGCCTGAGAGCACTTTAAGTTCTTCTGCTTCAGACTTTTAATAAAAACCTCAACAAGGAGATCAGATTATTTTTTGGAGTCTTAAATGTCGCTGTGCTGAAATGCTGATTTAATTATTTTGATAATTTGGAAGCCGGTCAGTCACTTCACTGTGTGTGTGTGTCTTTGTGTGTCTATGTGTGTGCGTTTGTGTACAAAAAAAACACACTAGATGCATTTCCAGTTGTGTTGTTGTTTTTTTAACACACATTTACACACCTGTCGGACCTGTAACGTGTAAATAATCATGGACATATTTTATTTCCTCAGCCAACTTTACACTAGTCACTTTGGATAGTAGCATACTTGAAGGGGAAAATGAATGTTTATAATATTATTATTATTATTATTATTGTTATTGTTGTTATTGTCTGTGAACTTTTATTTACCGAGATGCTGTCTAATGACATTTGTAGCACACAGCGAAACTGATCTGTTGTTTTTTTTTTGTACTGTTTTATTTTATTCACTGCGCATCGTTAGACAGACCTGTGGACACAAACTGCTGCCTTAGAGACGTTTTAGTAATAAAAAAAAAGTCTTTTTGAAACGAGTTTGGTTGTGATTTTCTTTCTTTTTATTTTTTTATTTGTGCAGAAGTCAGACGTGCAGCTGAATGAGTTCCTAAATGTGTATTTACGAGGATTTGTTCTCTTTTTTTTCCCCCCAAACTACCACATGAACGTGTAATTCAGCCTCATTATTGAGATTTCTATTCACTGCTCGTCAAAATAATCCTGACCACCCAATTAGCAGCTCCCCGGTTATTTCTTGGTGTCTAGAAGGTGCAGCGGCAGCGCTATCGAGCCTGTGTTTAGGAGACCTAATAACAGTCTATTCCCAGACAAAGCTCTATTTTCAGGTGCCGTGGTCGCGGCTGTTCAATCCCTCGCTAACAGCAGGGCTGCCGGTTCCTGCCTTATTGTCATGCTGGCTGGGAAGACGCTGCAGCAGTGGCCAGTTTTCATTGTCTGCTGTCATTAGTGGCTTTCCTCTGTCTCCTCTCAACAATTATTTTTCCAGGCTGCTTCCCCTGCGGAGGGAAGCTGCGTTTTGCTCCGTCTTTGTTTCTGTCTCACGTCGTCTCATCCAGCGTCTCCGCCGCCTTTCGCAGCTCGGAGGCGTTTTTTTGTTTTTTTCCTGTAACGCAGTTTTGCAGGTCAGGAGTCTTGGCCGCGGTTCTCGTGTGTCAGAGGCCACACAGTTGAACAAATAGATTCTCCACAGAGCCAGACGTGCAGACAAACATCCCCGTAGGCTCATAAAACACGGAGACAAATCTCAGTTTGATGGACTCTCTGTCAGCGGTTGTTTCCTATTTGTTTTTGCTCTTCCATTCAGACTCAACAGCCCGTCACGTTGGCCCCTTTGTAGGCTGCAATGAGCCATTAGGCCATTACAGGAGTCAAGCTTTTGGCTGCCGAGGCACCGCGCTCCGTCCAAGTCGGTTCAGGAGCTCATCGTTTGGTATTTGTGACCCCAAAGTTCTGTAAAAGGGTTTTTTTTCACAGAATTTCGTCTCATCTTGATATCTCCAGACGTGTAACTCCCACAGTCATGAGATTTGGTGACAAAACTGTGGATCCGAATGACTGAATGGTTCCAGCAGACGACTATTTTTTTAATTCTTGGCCCTTGAAAATGGAAAAAAAGTGCATTTTTTTTTCATGCATTTGTGGCGTTGTGCTCCTAAAACGTTTATCTAACTGTATATGTGTAGATGTTTCCATATTTCCCACCAAAATACTGTCTTTGGTCAACATCTCACCAACTTTTGAAGCTTCTAACATCAGTAGAATTTAATGTATGGATAGTCGAGGTAAACCAGTGTTTTGCTGTTTTGACGTGGAGCACAATAGCTGGTCTCTGGAGTCTAAATATTATCATTCTATGTGGAAAAAGTTCAGTTTAGACGCAGCAGTTCCCAACATTTCCTCCTTTCAAATGAAGTGATGATAACGAGGAGTCGGGGGATCGTAAAGGCGTCTGGGCATCATGACTGTCTGCAGAAAGCTTCATGCTCGTCCGTCGGGTAATTGTCAAAGTCTGCATGCCTTCCTGCATGACTAAAGCAAACCTTAGAGGACCACGTGAACCCACCGTCCAGCTTTCCTGTAAACATGCTTTCTGCTCTGCGGATCGTCTTGTGACCTCTTTAGTTTCATCGTGTGCTTCCCGACCCCGCAGCTCGTAATCGGCGGCGTTTCTAAACCCACATTCTCGGCGACCTCCAGCTTTGCTGTTTTGCAAGTGATGTTGTGAAAGAATGCGCCTGACGGCAGCTTATCTGAGCGTTGTTTCATTGCTCCTGGCTGACACAAGGATCCTCTTGTTGAAGAGACACAAAGCCGACTCTATCTGTGCTCTTTTCAAACACCCGAAGGTGATAACAGGAAGATAGCCGGCAGTAAAACACGACTCTCAGCCAACTTCAAACTCTGCTTACACAACCTCCTTGGCAGGATGTGGTCTGTTCTGGAAAGGAGAGGAACGAGATCTTTGGAGGCTTTCAGGTGATAAAGAACAGAGCAGCGACGTTTTGTGGCCTCTTTGTGTTTATTGCATCAGTTTGTCGCCGCAGACGCAAAATATTTCTGGTGAAGCGTAATCTGTAAACTTTGATTTCATGCCGTCTGCTTCTTAGTTTTGCGTCGGATGAATGAGAACCATTGTTCCTGGGACCTGCTCACCTGATCTGTTATCTCGCGTCCACAAAGGAAGCCCCTGTGTGGGAGGGCAGCGGAGAAAAAACCTCCTCAGAGGAAGGTTACGGCAGGTAGGGATCAGATCAGGTGGACGCCATTGTTCTGCCCGAGGAGACGCCTCAGGTGAATTGAAAAGGGAGAGATGGATTATAAAGGAAGTGTGCTCTGCGCTGACTCGCCCTTTGTGCCGGCAGCATTTGCATTCTGCAGCCGGCAGTAGCCTGGCGACCGTCTCGTCGGTCCAGTTTTATTCCCGTGCGTCTGTGTGCTGATTACGCCGTATCGGTCGCTGATGAATGGCCTCCATTGTGACGGATCGGCCGCTTCCAGAGAACGGTAAACATGAGGTTCTCGTGTCGTAGCGTCCGTCTGAGTTTCACTTGAGACAAAACTCTGATTAATTACACACGAGGTTCGAGCTAACGTTTCAGGAAATACAACGACTCAAGACGTTAGACGGAAAACAAAAGGATGCCAGTCACATGTCGGCCCATTTAATCTGACGCCGGAGCACAAAACAAAGTTATGAGGAAATAAAATGACATTCACCAGATAACTTGAATAACCCTGTAAGGAAAGAGTTGATCACAACAGAATGATTGGCGCGGTTTTGTAGGAAACAAAGTTTAAGAAAGAAAAAACAAAAGTGGTGTTGTTGTTGGGAACCTTTCTCATCTGACAAAGGCATCCAAAATAGTCATTGTGCTTTAGATGACTTTCAGATCTGATTTTGCAGTCATCACACGAACTAAATAACTGAGTTGCTTCATGCAGGGGCAATAATTGCAAGAACCTGTTTTTGGTCGACGTCTTCTTTCCGTAGCCAAAACATATCTTCAACTATTTTGCTTTTTGCAGATAAATCTTCCTTGTCAGTGTTTCTCTCCGGCTCTTGCACATGTGGAGCCTGCAGGGCAACAAACTCTGTGTCTTTTAGATAAAGTTAAAAACCTCCGTATCCAAGAACCATTAATCACGAGCTTCGTAAATTATCTTCTCTCAGGCAGATTTATCTCGTAGATTAGTCATGAAAAGTGACAAACTGTGCAAGTTTTCTTTTCATATGAAGCAGCAGGAAAGCTGCAGCTTGTTGTGTTTGAGTTCGTTTGGTTTCCTTCACATGGAGCTTCTTGCGATGTTGTTGCTGAAGCGATCTACTGTGTTAGCTACATATTTGGTCAAACCTGAGTCTGTTCAGCTTTCCAGGAAAATGCTGTTGTCTAGAATATTTCAGCTTCTTTTTTACAGGAAACAACAACCTCTAGGCGGCAAATTAAAATTTCTGACATGAATTTGGATCATGCAGTGAGGCGGAGCTGCTAGTTTTTATTCAGTTCTCGCCTCCATGCATGTAAACACAATTTCCCGCCACTATTTGGAGGGAATTCAGTCTCTGTATCCTTTGCATAGCTTCATGACTGTGACTGCTTTAAAGAAATACAAACAAACCAGAGATTTTCTTGTTCCCCTTTAGCAGAAGGATGATGAGGTGCAGCAGCCCGTTCTACACTGTTAGCACTAGAGAACCGTCTGGCTATTCCAGACCACACACAGCATCATGTGTCTGCAGCAGAACAGGCTGCAGCTTCAGGACCAAACTTCTAGAACCCATCGTTTTTGCACCAACAACCAAAATGGATGAAGTGAGCAATGTATAGTTTTAAAGGTTTATTCCACCCAAACAGTAGCTCCTCTGGTTTTAAGGATTTACTTTAGCGCATAAATTCTATCGTAGTTTGTTGCTCACACTTTGTCAAGCTAACGATAACTCTGCTGACCAACTGAAGATACCAGAACTGTTTCTAATGTTAAACATCCATCCATCCATCTTCTCCCGCTTGTCCGGGGTCGAGTCACGGAGGCAGCAGCCCAAGCAGAGCCGCCCAGACTTCCCGATCCGCACACACCTCCTCCAGCTCTTCCGGGGGGACCCCCAGGCGTTCCCAGGCCAGTCGAGAGACATAGTCTCTCCAACGTGTCCTGGGTCTTCCCCGAGGCCTCCTCCCGGTGGGACGCGCCCGGAACACCGAGCTCCTCACCCTATCTCTAAGGGAGCGCCCAGCCACCCTGCGGAGGAAACTCATTTCGGCCGCTTGTATCCGCGATCTCGTTCTTTCGGTTGTTAAACAAATAAAGCTTGACTCATATTCACACCGTGGTCGTCGTCCGTCTTGGGCAGAAAGGTGTTGCTTGCTTTAACACGTGCTTTCAGCGGGTGGTGCTGTTGCAAAGGGTCTTAGAAGCGTGGTCCCGAACCTACAGCTTCCTCTGCTGAAGACTCGTGATGTTGCGTGTAGTCGTGCACAGCCAGACCAATCTC